CAAGTAAGAAACATCAAGATGTATGTCATGACTAATATATATGTAACGTTTAAGGATCAGTAACAAACATTTCAAGTAAGAAACATCAAGATGTGTGTCATGACTAATATATATGTAACGTTTAAGGATCAGTAACAAACAATCTTGATGTTTCTTACTTGAAATGTTTGTTACTGATCCTTAAACGTTACATATATATTAGTCATGACACACATCTTGATGTTTCTTACTTGAAATGTTTGTTACTGATCCTTAAACGTTACATATATATTAGTCATGACATACATCTTGATGTTTCTTACTTGAAATGTTTGTTACTGATCCTTAAACGTTACATATATATTACTCATGATATACATCTTGATGTTTCTTACTTGAAATGTTTGTTACTGATCCTTAACCGTTACATGTATATTAGTCATAGCATACATCTTGAGGTTTCTTACTTGAAATGTTTGTTACTGATCCTTAAACATTACATATATATTAGTCATGACATACATCTTGATGTTTCTTACTTGAAATGTTTGTTACTGATCCTTAAACGTTACATATATATTGGTCTTGACATACATCTTGAGGTTTCTTACGTGAAATGTTTGTTACTGATCCTTAAACGTTACATATATATTAGTCTTGACATACATCTTGAGGTTTCTTACGTGAAATGTTTGTTACTGATCCTTAAACATTACATATATATTAGTCATGACATACATCTTAATGTTTCTTACTTGAAATGTTTGTTACTGATCCTTAAACGTTACATATATATTGGTCATGACACACATCTTGATGTTTCTTACTTGAAATGTTTGATGTTACTGATCCTTAAACGTTACATATATATTGGTCATGACATACATCTTGATGTTTCTTACTTGAAATATTTGTTACTGATCCTTAAACGTTACATATATATTAGTCATGACATACATCTTGATGTTTCTTACTTGAAATATTTGTTACTGATCCTTAAACGTTACATATATATTAGTCATGACATACATTCCCAGTGTATTATTATGCAGTAATATGTTATTAATTCATTATTTTCTTATAGGTGTCGGTGTCATGTGGGATACCAGATTTTAGGTCCAGAAATGGTATTTATGCTCGCCTTAGTAAAGATTTTCCTGAACTTCCCGATCCTCAAGCAATGTTTGACATTCATTACTTCAGGAAGGACCCCAGGCCTTTTTTCAAGTTTGCTAAGGTTATTAGTCTTGATTGGTATTTTAAAATAAAGTATTTAATGAATAGCAGCATTACAACACAGTTCCAGTAATGAACAAGAAAGACTTCCTATGTTCAGTGTGGTTTATCTCTATTTGAACAATTGAAAGTAGGCATCAAAATAATATATACAAATATGTTTTATAATGTCAGTACTGGTTACAATCACAAGGTTAATATCTTATTAAGAAAATTATTCTATTGTGCCTCCACTTTATATCACACCAACTAAGCTGCTTAGCTGCATCAATAATTAGTATATTTTAATATATTCTTGATCAGTCATCGTGTGTAACCTTACCTGGTGATAGTTATTTAATTCATCATATTTGTTGACAGATTAGATCAAATATAAATCATCTGCTACCAAGTTATAATGCTCTTGTTTGAAGACCTTTTTATGCTGTTTAGCTGCATCAATAATTAGTATATTTTAATATATTCTTGATCAGTCATCGTGTGTTACCTTACCTGGTGATAGTTATTTAATTCATTATATTTGTTGACAGGTTAGATCAAATATAAATCATCTGCTATCAAGTTATAATGCCCTTGTTTGAAGACCTTTTTCTGTGGTTGTGTAGTCTGAAGTTTTTATTACTCTTTATAACTTTATTTAAGTATAACCTAAATGGTCCTAGTTTGTTAAGTGTTTGAGGAAAGGTAAAAATATCAATGTGCAAGATAATAATAATACAGTTTATTGGCATTGTTCAGATTCTAGGCTACTTGTTTCATTCGAATAAACCATGTATTTAATGTAGATGTACTAGAACGGTTGTATCACATAATGGATAAGTTATTTTTGTTATAGCCATTCAAAAAAGATATGTGATGAAATACATTGTGATTTTATGAAATCTATATTGTATAGTAGAAAAGAGGCATTATTTTTCTAACAAAAACGTATTACCTGGACACATTTTTTGTGATTTTGAGAAATGTTTATTATACAACAGCTTTAAAAGTTCTACATTGACATTTTGTCCTCCTGCTTCTGCTTTATGTTACAGGTGATCCAGTTCTAAGCATATTTGGTATTTGCTATCATTAAGATACTAATTAACATACTGAAGAAGCCAAAATGGCCAAGATAAAAAAAAAATGTTACTTGAAAAAAATTATTTCTTCCCTGTTAAACATGTGTACTCTAGTGTCTGCTATACCACCTGTAGTTTACTGAATCTCAAATTATTTCTTCCCTGTTAAACATGTGTACTCTAGTGTGTGCTATACCACCTGTAGTTGTACTGAATCTTAAATTATTTCTTCCCTGTTAAACATGTGTACTCTAGTGTCTGCTATACCACCTGTAGTT